GTTTATTTTACTCCGTATCTTTATCTGTCTATCATAACTTAAAGTTTATTTAGTGTTTCTGGGGTCTACTTACTAATTTTGGTTAGATTAATAATTTTCCTTCATTCAGAGTAACTGAAATAACTGCAGATTTTCTGCCATGATACTTGCCCCAGTTTCTGAGTTATTGACAACTGCACTGTAATACAGGACCAAATATGTCCTTTTCAGCATTTTGCGGTTAATTCTTTGCTATTAAGGACATATATTATCATGAAATCAAATAATTTAATTCAATATTTTCCCTGGTTAGATTTTGATCTATGACCGACTGTGTCCTCATTTTTTGTTTGATTGCTTCAGGAGGCATTTTTCTCTTTGGGCTTTGAAAGAACTTGTTTTCTGTTATCTGGAGCAAGAACTAGATTATCACCAGTTGCAGTTGTTCTGTGCTATTTTCTCTTTTACATGGTGCCTGGTATGACTTTTGATTATTGTTTATGCAGTCCATTCCAATGTCGAATCACCCTTTATATGAATAAATTCTTCTTGATATCCTAATTCTTCCTAATATTCTTGTTTTCTTCTTTAGCTATGTTGATTTGTCTTGAGGATTTACCCGTGATTCATAGTGGGGAGAAAAAAGCTGGTGCCAGCCATGAACACATTCCAGGTCTTTATTATAGGATATTTATATTTATACCAGAGCTGAAGCTGGGGTACAGATCTATGCATCATCCACCATATGTGTGTAATGCTATGATTGAGGAATTTAGTAAATACCAGAGCTGAAGCTGGGGTACAGATCTATGCATCATCCACCATATGTGTGTAATGCTATGATAATTGCATGATCAGGATGTGTATCATGAAATACTGTATAGCATTGTCAGACTGTTTTTGTATGGTTGTAAAATAGTTGGCATATGTGTGTAATGCTATGATAATTGCGTGATCAGGATGTGTATCATGAAATACTGTATAGCATTGTCAGACTGTTTTTGTATGATTGTAAAATAGTTTGTTCCTATGATGCTTTGCATCATAGGAGACATGCAGACGTGCTGGAAAGGATATCTGCAATTTTAAATTTTAGCAGTGTAAATATAATACAGTTGAAAGTAGAAAATATACACAGAGGAAAAGGGAAATGCTAGTAGTCAGGGAACATTCATACTTTAGGGATCCAACTCCTATAACTAAATCAAAAGACTGATTTCCTTAGGCCATTTCTGCAGTGTATGCAGACTCCTTCACAGGACGTTTTGCAGTGTTTCAGGAGTTCCTTCAACTAAATCTCTCTCAAGGAGCCTCTCTCTACCGTAGGGTAGGATCTGTCTCCTACATCCCACTCTTGCTTACTTTTGATGTTTGAAAACAGGTGATGTGTATATAACTACTTATCACACATTTTGCTCATTGGGGCTGTAGGGGCATGTTAGTAAGCTGAATTTCAGAGAAAGCTTTGAACAATGGTAATGCAGTATGTTTTCAGATATTTAAGGGAGTTTCCATAAAGTGTAAAGTGTAAGACAGAAAAAGGCACAAGAAGTTTGTTTGAAAATACACCATGTGGGTGTGAGAGGAGCTGGAAACTGGACTCCTGACACTGAATGGCAGGTGGGAGATGGAAGGGAAGAGATACAAGAAGCATCCCTGAAATTTATTTTTGTATCAGTAAAAAGTGGAGGGTTTTAAAGTGTCTTAGCCAAAAACAACATAACAATCAAATTTGACAGTATGATCTAATGGTCTTTTGAGCTTTATTTTTTATAAGAATTGGCCTGGTTTCAAACATGAGCAAACCACAGCTGTCTTTCTGACAAAGATTAAGGAGTAATAGGTGTGGTGGTGATCAGCAAGGATGGACCTTAAAAGTGAAGACAAGTGGTGGATGCTGCAGAAGGAGCCAGGGAGAGCTGTGGAGATAGTGAGGTGTTCTCTGAGTGAGTGACTAGGAAAAGGGTCTTTGCAGCAGTTTCTGAGCGAATGTGTGTGATATTAGGCTGTGTTTGTCAAAAGCAAAGAGGAAAAATGTTGCTGAATCAAAAAGCAGAGAGCAAAATCTTGCTGAATCAAAACACGATGATGATGATTAACCTGATTGAATGCTTTAGCTGATTGGGAGGATTAAGAAAAATACCATCTTGGAAATGTTGCATTGAAAGTATCTGCAAATTATGAATATGAATCTTGGGATTTGAAGTGTCTTTGGGATGTAAGGTGATGGTAGAGTTACATGTCTGAGCAATAGGCAGGATGATGCTGTAGCTGTGCAGCTTTGTGTGTGTCACCAACAGTTAAGTCATTCATAGGAAAAACTGTAAAGATCTGTCCTCAAGTATAATTGTATTATTTAGTATTTGACATTCTTCACTCCTACAACTGCTTCCCACATAATATTGCTTAGAATATTTCCCCACCTGCCACAGAGGACTGGACATTAATTGTTGAGTTTGATTTGTAATCAAAAAAAAAAAGTCACAGTGGGATGCTTAGTATGAAAAGATGTGTTTTGCATTTGCTGGGAAGGCACTGATCTTTTCATTTGGTTTGCAGTAATGTGAACATAGATGCAGTAATTTCCTTACAATTAAATTATGAAGTCAAGTCTTCTAATAATAATACTCCATAGTATTTCAGTAATAATTAATTGATTCTGTTCCTTATTCCGATTCTGCCTAATGATACAAGAATTCCCTAGAGGAGGAGATAGCTTTCAGTTTGCTTGAGAATTTTATAGCCAGGTCGCATACCAGCCACAGTATTTTTTTCCTTCCCCCTTTAGCAGGTACTGGAACTCACAGGTTGAGAAAGGACAGAGGGCACACATCTGCTCTTGGATAACTTTCCATTGGTGTGTAGTTGTATGGACATGGGAGCAAACAGGTGTGACTTAGAATTGTTTCTAGGCTTTTCTGACTTAAACCAGAGAAGAGGCAGCTTTAGTATCAGGGAAGCATAACCTGAAGAAAACATCTGAACAGCTTTTTTGTTGTTTTTCAATAAATTTTTGCCGGGTGTGGAAATCTAAACTGTTAATGTATGTTTGCAAGAGCAAGAAGAAAGGTTGTCTTAGGTGTTAAGTAGTTAGGTGTCCAGATTAAAAAGGTAAAGCTTCAGGAAAAGAAACTAAAACCTGGCTTTATTTGGAAATGTAACTCTGGCAAGGAATTTGATATTAATGGCCCATCAATAGTTTCAGGTTGTTCACATAAACAGCAGTGAGAGCCAGATAAGGCAATAAATTTCTCTCTGCTTGCTAAAAATTTGTGAAATCATAAATTCATTGAGCAAACATACCCCAGGGGCATACTGGGACTGGGACCTCTCCCTGCACATGGCTGAGCCCTGCTGGCTGCATCTTCCCCCCAAGTCCCTGTGTGCCTACAGAGTGACCCCAGGTTTGAGGTGTAACTCTCTGGAGATAAAATAACCAAAATCTGACACTATATTTGAAGCCCAGTGTTGTAGATTCTTTACCATGTGCCTGTTTGAGACATACATGTGGGATATAACTGAGAATTCAATATTAAAATGGGAGTAAAGATTTTGTTATCTGTCCTGAGCTAACACCAACTCTAAAAAGACAAACATATTTCCTTTCTTCACAAATTTTGGAAATCTCATCTGCCTTACATATCTGTGAGTTTCCTTGTATATAAATGGTCTAAGTCAGTGTGTCATCTTGGCAAAAAAAGCATGCACGATGTCCATGTGCAAGGAAAACTTTGTATATACTACTATTTTTTCATATCTAGAAATAATAGCAGTTTGAATCCTTATCTCTCCTGAGTGCTATAGGCAAATCAATGTCTCGGTGAATTTAACATGTTCATGTCCTCATGTATCTTGAATTTTTAAACTTACTATTTTTTTTTAATGTAAAGGATCTTGCTGCATCTTAAGCCATCCTGTAGGAGATACAAAAGTAATCAGAGATTGTTGATTGTCTTAAACATTTTTTTGGGGTAGAAGGTGTATTTGAATTGATTTGTCTGATTACATGCTGATCTCTGAAGATATAACTCTGCCCTAGTAATAGGAAAAGTGGTAAAATACTCCTGGACAATTCATTTTGTCTTTGGTCTGGCTGTCTCAAAGAACTAGTGAAGGTACAAGGTGCAGTGATGACATTGAGAGGCGTGGTGAATTGGCCATTGTGGCCTCCCAAGCTGAGCCAGCCTCAGGTAGGGAGGAAGCATGGACCCCTTCCTGGAGTGGATGATAAGTGCTGGCGTGGAAGTCTGGATGACACAGCTCCCTACAGTGTACCCTGTGATTCCATGTGCTTGTGCCACCATAAATCTGATATTCCTGTAGTGTCCTCACTGCTTCTGTCACACTCTCCTGTTGTGTTAAAGTCTGTATTTCAGTGGGCAAACCTCATTATGAGGTAGGCATTTTTTTGCTAATCTCTTTTCTCATTAGCAGTTGTATGATGCTAGGTACATGCTACCATGAGGTTTTACTGGAACCTTGGGGGGACACACTGCCAAGCTAGAACTTCTCACAACCTTCAGATAGTCATAGCAATGGTAGTTCTTATAGAAATATTATTTACTTTCTGTCAGTTTTACAGTGTTTTAAAATAGAGGCAGATTATCTCATTTTAGTTTTGGACATCGTGGTACTAAAAGGCTGAAAATCTCCATGAAGAGCTGATGAAGATAAATACATCACCTTTATTGATTTTAGACCACTCTCTTTTATTAAAAATAATAAAACAAATTACATATAGCAACAAAAAAGCAGCAGCACACAGGAGGTGAGCAAACACACTGCAGGTACTTGTGTTTGCCTGAAGGGGAATGCACTGTGATCAATTAATGCTTTATAAATCTCTTGGCATAAGAAATTACTGTTGCCTTTGCTGTAGCTGCAGCATTTTAAGGTAAAAATAGAGATCTTGTCATGGTCTAGGCACTCAAATTATTTTTCTGTGATTCGTTTTGTGTCTCTTTAATTAGAGCTGTGTGCTGTGTTCCCTGATTTCATTCTTTTTCTCTTTACATATTTAGGTCCTGGTCCTGCAACTGGATTTGTTCAAATGGACCTCGATAGCCTGGGGGCCTGATGAAGTTCATGGGACTCTGGTGACTGCAGGTTCTCACTCTGAAGATCTAATTGTAGGCCTGAACCTAAATTTCTATTTTGTTCTCCTGTGTGTTTGCTTCTTAAATGATGAAAATTATCCTTTAAAATGGTGTTGTCGTTGAGCCTCATGCACATCCACTTTAGTAATGTTCCAACACTGTGTGCCTGGGATGTTGTCAGACATTGTTAAATTATTTCTGTTCTGTTGTGTGCCTAAACCTCATGATTGCTCTGATTATTGTGTTAGATTTTTCCATTTAGTGCCTTCCTACCTAAAATGGAGGTGATAATCACCTGTATTTGCAATCGTTGTGGTATTTCTCTTAACTCAGATTTTTAAGTCAGAGTTACTGGTGAAACTGTTCAGGTTATTTTTAAAGATGTAGGTAGATTTGTTTATTTCTTGCTGGACACAAAGTATAATAATTTAATTTGCAAACTTGGTAACCTAGTATTACTGAAAGCTTTCAATATGATGATACTCTGATGTAATAAAATGAGTAGGAAATGATCCTTCTAGCTCTCCTGTTGCTTTTCTATTCCTGTGGCTGAGGTTGCACAACATACAACCGAGAGTGAAGATATTTTTATTTTTTTGTAAGCCAGTCTATATCTTTTGTCGACAATAAGTGCTGTTCCCTGTCCTATTCCATATTGCTGTTTCACTGAATAGTAAAGTGGTAGCCGTGGTAGAAGCTGTAGAAAGGACTTTGAAAAATCACATGTAGAGTGTGATCATAAATAGAGTGTGAGAGGAAAAATAGATGTGTTCTATCTCTATACATGTTAGTATTTATTGTTAATATTTTTAAAGGAAGTATGTGTGGTGTACGATAATGAAGAGATTAAAAGATCCAAAACATCCTTTCTATACAGACAATCAGATATTTTTTTTTGTTGTTTTTGTAGGCTTATTACAATGATATTAAGGAGCTTCACAGTATTTGATGAATTTTTGCATATTCCCTGAACAGAAAAGAACCATTGTCCTGTTAGACTAAAGAGAAAACTGAGCAGCTTTTTTGGTCAGCAGTAAAGTCAATGACATTAAATGGATTCTCCTGCCTTTTAACCTTGTGCCTCCAGCTCCATTTTTCCCTCAAGACCCAAACCTTCCCTTACCATCATCTGCTTTGCATTTCTATGTGAAAGAAAGAGGTAATTCTGTTTGGACTCCCAGAAAATGAGGAAGAGGAGGTTGGTTGGCCAGGGTGTGAGGTCTGACTTGCCCCTTGCTCACGGGGGCTGCTGGTGAAGGCAGAGGCAGAACTGAGTGTTCTGTGTGGCATTCAACTGCCTTAACCACATGCCCATCGCTCTCTTCCTGTAGTTGTCTGTCTTGTTCTCAGCAGAACTCCTAAAGACAACACGTGTACCAACCAATAAATAATCTAATTTGATGCACAGCCCTGATTCACTTCCTGAGCCATGTCCTGCACACATGGAGCGGCCGCAGTCCTGTGGAAAAATTCAGCACAGCGCACGAGGCCAAAGAGTAAGGCTGTTAAGTGTCTTTAAACTTTGCAATGAAGCAGTGTTCTTTTAATGTCACTTATTATAGCCATAGGTCAAAGTATTTTTAACAAGAAACAAGAGGAAAATGAAAGCTTTTGGAACTGGTTGTAACCAATTCCCTGTCTAGCCTGTGAACGTGAATATCCAGCTTGGTGAAACACAGAACATCAGTCAGGGAGGTAGAGAAGGAAGAAGGATGGGTCCTTAACACCATGGTTATATCCCATTTGCTTCCCAGTCTCAGGGACTATTTGTGGAGTGTTGACCCCAGCTCTTTAGCTTTTTTTTTCTTTTCAGCATTCCCACCCCCAAAAATTAGCTTCTCCAGAGCTTCTCAGTGCAACATACATTGGGGGTGTAGCTGTAGTCTGCTAATCATTTAAATGAAGAAACAGAAATTAAAGGTGGGCTTTTCTCCTAAGTTTTCACATTGAAAAATAAGAAGAGATGCTCCCAGTTCTCTCCACAATGAATTTCAGGGGCTATCCTTCTGATCCTTGATCTCACAAATAGATGGCAAAAACTTTAATAATAGAAAATTTGCTCTTGGCTTACCCCTTTAATCTTCTTCCTAGTCAAATTGTAGTGGCCTACTGTGTTTGTAAGCTACCAAGGATGCTGTGGAGGCTCCAGTGCCAGAGCAATTGTGTTGGGAATGCAAGCTCATCTTATTATCTTTTATGTTAGAATTTGGTAGCATAAGTATTTTTCAGAGAAACCTTGCCAGACAATGGTCTGAGTTTCAGTTTTTGTTAATATCTGCTTTATCTATGGATAGTGCTTGAGATTTGGTCACCAAGCCTAGTGATTTGCTCTGAGGAAAACAAAACAATCTCATACTTTGCTTTTGCGTGTTTTTCTCTGGGATATAGAGTCTTTTCTTGCAAGTAATGCAGCAAATTCCTGTAAAAAGAACTGGTGGGAATACTGTTAGGGAAAATTTGTTCAACCCATTCACTGAAATTCATAAAAATCAAAATACTTGCAAAAGTACTCACTGGCATTTTGTTGCAAAATAAAAATGAAAACCCTGATTTTAGTACTTTTTTATTTTAATAAGGATCAGTTTTCAACATTTCATAGCTATAGAGAAATTGTGGGAATAGGACAAAACAGGCATGGTATGTAGAATCACCTTAAGTCTGTATCTCAACACTTTGTATCATGAAAACATGGCCTGGAACTGCTGCCTGTCATATCAGATAATATTATTACTGATTTATTATGTTACTTCATCTTACCTGCTTTTTGTAACCTTTTGGTGGGGATCACAATTTTTTTCTGTGTTTTGGGTATCTTCTTTCGGTTTGGGGTTGGGCTTTTTTACCAGCACCTAACATAGCCCTGATCCATGATTTGGCTTCCAGGTACTAGGAAAATACAAGTACTAATCATGCCTGCTGCTAAAAATTTTCTATGTTATTTCATTTGCATTTGTTTGCCTTCAGCTTCTAGTGGTTGATTCTTGTTATGCCTTCCCTGATGGATTAAAGAGCTCTTTAGGACTCACTATTTTCTCCCCAGGAAGGTGCTTTTACCCTGTGATCAAGTTACTTCTCAATATTATTTTTGTTGTTGTTTATTTATTTAAAGAAAAAGCTAAACAGATTGTGCATTTTAGGGTTCTCTTTATTTTTTCACATTCCTAGATGATTTTTGTGGCTCTTATGCATCCATAAAACTGTGTGTTACTAGTCACATGCACAGGAGTAAAATTACTTCTCTAGTTCCTCTTGTGTTAGTATGGTTAGAAATTGATGTTATTGCAAGGTCAGATAAAAAAAACCCTACCTAATATGATTTCTGCACACCTGAGTGTAGTTATTACACTACAGAAAATTATGGATGATTTTAAAAACATTTAAATATTTTTAAGTGATCCACAAATCAGCAAGAATGGGTGTGCAGGAGGGATGCCAAAAGTATTTATGTTGAGGTTTTTAAGGAGCTAGAAGTGAAAATAAAAATAATAATTTTAATTGTAAAGCAACAATAATACATCAAAACTTAAGTGCTGTGTTTAGTATAGTAATACATAGTTGCAGAAATTTTGTAGGATTGAATGAAAAGCGTTTGTTATTAACACACTGTTATGGGTCACAGGAAATAGAGACTGTAAGTGGGTGTGAATATACATATCCCTTTCATCCATTTAATCCTATAAGTAGCCACTTGCTTATATTTGGAAACCCAAGAACAGTTATGTGATCTATTATGCTGAAATAGAAGAAATAACATAGTATTAAGAATTCCATTTTTTATAAAGATTGTTTGAACTTTTATATGACTTAATAATGACAATCAAAATCCAGAGCTTGAAAGAAGCTCTTGAAAGTTTTACTGCTTCAGTATTTCTTTCCAAAGGGGTGGCTATTTATTTTGATTTGCATCCATACTTTAGGACAAGGTTAAGTTAAATTTACACGAATGAGACTAATCAGATGCCTGTCTGGTCAAAACATCTCAGCCCCCAATGACTTTTATGCATATCATGTATAGAAGCATCTGAATTGGATCTGCACTCCCAGCCCCACACTTATCCCTCCTGGAAACCATCAGATTTTCATCAAATTCAACTTCAGACTGTTTAAACTCTTGGTGCTGCACATTAGTTTGATGCAAGTTTGTCTAATGTGTCTGACAAAACTTTGAGGTCACCACATTGACTTTCTGTCCAAACTGACTTGAGTTTTGACTTTGAAAATAATGTGTCTTTCCCTCGTGGCAGCATTCCCTCTGTGAAATTTGGGGCATATTCCATAAGGGTCTTCATTTATTTCAGCAAAATGAAAGTTCATGGAAACATGGTAAATGAGGAAAGAATGAGATATAAAGTAAAGCAAAAGACTTAGAATCCTCTAAAACTTGTGGAAAAGAAGTAAAGGTGAACAAGAAATGAATAGAAAGCCAAATGGCCTCCAGTTAAGAAAGTACTAAGCTAAACAGATTTAGACTATAAATTTGTGTGTGTTAGTGGAAAAGTTATTACTAAGATTTTGGTTATACTGGGTGACTTGGAGTAGAAGTTGTCCCCCTGCAATGATGAGCTCACAGAGCCCTTTCTGAAACTACCATCTGCTGTTGGAAAAGACAAGAGAAGTAGGCATTCCCTTGAATGCTTTTTGGAATCACAGGCGTAGTCAGTGTAAAGTATGTGATTTCTGACATCCTAGATTGCCTCAGTTTCTTCTCCTGAGTCTCAGAAATCTTGGAATAGAACCATTAAATAGAAGGAGATGACATCGCTGGGAAAGAAGATAGTAGAAGAAACAGGATGCTTATGATAATAGCTGGAGACAGTCTCCATGAGAATACTAGCATGACTTCTTTTCTCTGAACAGCCAGTTAAAAGGTGATCCTCCTTTCTGAACCAGTAATAAATTGCTATGGCTGCATGTAATGGTGAGTTTTTGAACAATGCAGCACCCAGTTCAGTGCAGTGGAAAACTGTTTTGGAAGTGGGGGGAGAGGAGTCTGGCTAGAAAATTACTTTCCCATTAAATAATGCTACTGATGACTATTTGGTGAGCAGATACAGCTGCCAGAAAGCATTTTTCAGCTTATCTTTCCACAGGAGTGTGGATAGAAGGAGAGAAGTAAAAGGGGACAGAAAAAGAGAGAGATGGAGAAAGGATAAGAGTTTTTTGAGGCTGCTTCTGCTCTTCCAGGATATGTTCTTTGCCCTCCCTAGTGAGTGGTATATGCTGATAACTTGTAATCTTCCTTGAGCACCGTATCTCCATGGGAAGTTAGCAGGTTTATAAAGTTCCTGAGTATGTGGACAACTCCTTGAATGGATGAAAAACATTCCATTGCATTTTAAGGGATGAGATAGACACTACTCAGTGACACTCATGTACACTTGGCTATATTCAGCAAAAGGGTAAGACTGTCCTGTCAAACTATGCAAGTTCCCCTTTTGAAGCTGTGAGCAAATGGTTGTTTCCTCCAGCAGTTCCTGTAACTGCTTGTATGCAGTCAACATTCACAGCAGGT